TCTTCATTCTCCAAGTGGAAAAACACGCTAAGGTTTCATTTGGGACGGCTTTTTTATTGTTTCTTAAAACGGAGCTTTAGTACAAAAATTAAAAATTTTGAACTAAAACTCTGCTTTAAGAAGTGATTTAAAAGTCATCCTAAATGAAACCTTAGCATACTGAACGAGTATTTCCATCATCTATATAATCATGTTGCTTGTTGCAATTTCTTTTAACCTATAAGTGCACATTTATTTAACTACTATCATCAAATCATATGTGTATACTTAACAATTTTATTATTTAATGAAGACAAACCAATGCTGAAGTGAAAGAACAAAAATAACAATAGGTTGATTATTCTCTTCTAGCTAGATAATAAAGAAGAGAATGTGCAAATGTGAGAAATTGTGAGTTAAATAGGATTTGAGTGAAGTTGAGTAAAAAATAGTTAATAAAATTCATTTAAATTTTAAATTCTAAAACAAATAATAATTTTTTAAAATATTAATCAAAATTTAACAATTATCTCGGTCTTAAAATTTACATCATAAAAAATTATTATTATTGAGTTTGTGAAGTTAATTAGGATTGTTTGATTAGCTAAAACAAGAATGCAGAGTCAAATGAAATTAAATATAAAATAAAAGCATCGTATTTGAAATATTTGAAATTATTAGAAAAGTGTAAATTAAGAAGGAATGGGTAGCCAAAATCACCATGGGTGGTGTTTGACAATAGCAGTGGCTAATGGCAGTGGCCATGGTGGGTGGCTATGGTCCTTTATGATAAAAATTATAAAATATTGATATAATAATTTAAAATTAAAACTATAAAATAAATAAAATTCATATACAAATAATATCTTTTATACTTTTAAATTTAAAGACCTTCAATCTTTAAATTTGATTCACATTTCATATAATTTTATTTCACTTATAAACTTACACATTTTATATAAATTATTATTAATTTATATTATATATGTAAATAAAAAATTACTCATATAAATAATAAACCAAATTCTTTATATCATTCACATTAGATCATCTATCCTTAATATATATATATATATATATCTTTTTGAACATGTGAATCGTATGTTCTTTGGCACTATTATCTTTAGTTGTCTGAACATGAACCTAGCTAGCGGTCACCATTGGTTGGAGGGAAGCTGGAACTGGCTCTCAGTGAGGAAAAATTATTCCATCAGGTTACCTGACGTAGAGATACATCAGGTAGCCTATAATATGTCGCCACGTGCACTTACTCTTTATCGTGCGGCCCGACGACCCGACCCGGAGCGGACCCGGGAGTTGGCGTAGCTCGGTATTGCTAGGTATTGATCCATTTTGCTGGACAAAAACGAAAAATACTATTCTATGAAGACCAATACCGAGCAATACCGCGCAATACCGAGCAATACCGAGTTCTTTTAGGTATTACTCGGTATTGCTCGGTATTAATACCGAGTTCTTTTAGGTATTGCTCGGTATTGCTCGGAATTGGTCTTTACAGAGCGGTATTTATCGTTATTGTCAAGCAATACCGAGTAATACCTAGCAATACCGAGCAAATACCGAGCAATACGCGAACATAGTAATCCCGGATTCGGTCCAAGTCGGGTCGTCGGGCCGCGCAATAAAAAGTAAGTGCACGTGGCGACTTATTATAGGCTACCTGATGTATCTCTATGTCAGGTAACCTGACGGAATAATTTTTCCTCAGTGAGGTCGGTGTGGGTAGATGGAATTGAATTTAAACAGGGAGGAGCATTCAAGTTCCGAAGATGCATATGTAGGCCAGGGGAGGGGAAAAAAAAAAAAAACAGATCTTACTGCATTTCTGATTGTTTCTTCGGTACAGAAGGAAAACAAAAATTTTAATGTTAAATGGAAAAGAGGGAATTAGTAACCAGTTCCTAGAGGAGTCCATATTAGGATTAATTATACTATGCGGATGACGAACGTCATTCGGAGATCAACCAAAATGCGCCACGGCATTCCTTGCTCTGTACCACGGCTTGGTAGTACTGACGTGGTGCATTCTGGTTGGTCTCCGGACGATGTTCTTCATCCAGTCTCCACACATAATAATTTCTCCAATATCAGGGAGAAGCCAAATTGCCTTTTTCATATATCTTTGATGAGAATACAATTTTGATGCATTTTGAAATTCATATTTTAATAGAATTAGTATATTTGAAAAGTATTAGATTTCTATATTTATAAAAATACATAAATATAATTTAAATATTTATTATATTATCCAATTCAACTCTCAATTTAACTCTGATTGAATCATTGAATTTTGAATTTCTTATTTGGGTTCTATATTCAGGCTTATTTTCACTCCTTTGATTTAGATATTATATATACAATTTTACAAACGGGTCGAAATCCCTAACAATATTTATAAATTTTATAAAATTTCAGGTTCTGGTTGAACCAAAAACCCAGGTCGAGTTCGGGTTAGGGATTTCGACCCGTTTGTAAACTCGGGGTGGG